AAGGAACATGTGGAGCCCAGGACCAGCTCTGAGGATTTGTCCTGCCTCGTGGGAAGAAGGTGAGTCCTGGAGGTCCCCTAAGAAATGACAAAATTTTCCAAAATTTTCCAATCTGGAATGACCTTTCCTTGAAACTCTGGCCCAGGGAAAATTCCCTTCACATTTCCTTTGTGGGGATGAGCTGGCTGTGGTGCCAGGAAAGGTGAGGGGAATATTTCAGACACTCACCTGTAGGACTTGTATTTATTCACTTGTCATTTATGGGGAACAAGGTGAAACCACTCGTTTCCTTCTCTCAGGCCATGAATAATATTGAGGAAATTGTTTGCACTTAGAAACCACAAGGTGGGGAGCTCAGGGATATAAAAATGCAAAAAATTGTAATCTGTGAGTGAAACTGGGAAATCAAGTGTTGAGCAAGGTGCTTCTAAAGGAAACGATATATTTTCAGAATTAGATCACAATTTTTATTTTCTGTGCAAAATAATTACTCATTCACTCTTTGAAATAAATAAAAAAGAAAATTGCATTTCATCTCCCTCTCCAGCCCTTTAACAAATACTTAGGCAGAACTTCTTGTCCTCTAATTTGAGTTATCAGTTTGTGAAATGGTTTTTCCTCCCTTCTCCAGCTTGTTTCCAGTTCTTTGCCTATAAGGAAATAATTATTCTCCCCCTTTCCCAGCCTTTTCTCCTTTCCTTGAGCTTTTTGTAATTTTTTCCCCCATTGTATCACTTTCTTGGGTTATGAAGCAAAGTCCCATACTCTGAGACAGAGCTGGGTGTGTGGAGATGACTCAGGATTATTGGAATAATTGTGATTTTTTCATTTTTGATTTTATTTTAAATGATCTCAACCCAATGAGAATATTTAACATAACCACGTCAACTACAAAGACAGAATTTAATTGAATTTCCTCAGATCCAAGGTCTGGGAGAGCTGGTGAGAAGGAATTCCACAGAGGGGAGGAATTAATTTGAAAGTGAGGGATCAGGTGTACCAGCAAAGGAATTAAAGTTCAGGGAACAACGGGACCACTGAACCAAGCTGTTTGCTTGGAAAGTTCTCCAAGGCTGCAGCAGAGAGAAGGAAAAGAATCCACCCCACCTTAGCCAGGTCTTGGAAAGTCTCCAAAGTTCAGTCCCTGGAGGGCAGAGGAAATGCCTGAGGAGGAACTGCTGGATGTGCAGAAAATGCTCAGCCTCGGGCAGGGGGGAAAGCAGGAGCCTGACAGGAGATCTGCCTTTGGAATGAAGGAGCAGAGGGAGAGAACTCGGAGCTGAGAGGACGGCAGGAGGCTGGAATGAGGAGGTGCTGCCGGATCCGTGGAATGCCAGGTGCTGGGAGCAGCCCTGGCTTTGGGAACAGGATGATCTCTGTGGTTACAGGGGGATGGATGTACAAGGGGATGCTGCAGCCCTGCCACGGAGCCAGGGGGAAGCAGTTCCCTCTCCCATCCATTTCTGGGCTTCCATCACTCCCGTTCCCAGAGGATGAGGAGCCCTGGTGACAATGAGCTCTCTTGGCCTTCAGCCAGAGGAGGGAAGCAGAGCCCTTGTTCAGGGTGGGAACTTCCTTCATTCCCAGGGCACTGAGGCTGGGTGGCACCAACCTGCAGCACCTGATTCAGGATCAAAGCTTCCTCCTGAAATTCCAGGGTTAGTCATGAAAACCTTCATGTCCATCCCACTGGATGAAACAGGAGAGTTTTATGAAGTTTAAATGTTTTGAGAATGCATCTTTTCAAAGATGATCTCTCCAGGAAATGCTTTGCTTCAGTGTCTCTCAGGCAGCTGTAGTTGTTCAGTATTTCCACCAAATCACCTGGGGATTTTTAAAACTTAGCACTGTTAAGATCCACCAGGAATTTGTGTATCATGAGGAAAACAGGGACAAAGTTGTGCATGGAGCCAGGTTCAAGTGTTACCTAGAAATTCAATTCTAGTCCCCACAGCCTGAAGCTCTGAAATCCCAGAATCCCAGACTGGTTTGGGTGGGAAGGGACCTTAAAATCATCTCATACCACACCTTCCACTGGGCCAGGCTGCTCCAGGCCCTGGCCAGCCTGGCCTGGAACATCCAAAAAGTCCTCCTGAAAGTCCTGGCTTGGCTGAAGAGCTGCACATCATTAATGTGCAAAACACTCTCCTGGGAGGCGTTTTTCACTCCATTACCTGAGCTGGCTGTTGGAGAAGGAGCCTTGGGAAGAGCTGTGAATTTCAGGAAGGATGCAGACCAACATTTAACAGTGTGGAACAAGGAGCCACAAACCCACCCCACTCAGTGGTTGTGTGACTCAGCAGAGGCAGGAGCTGTTTGCTTTGGCACAGGATCCTTCCCAGCCACAGGAGCTTCCTCAGGCCAGGATCTTTGCTCTCAGAGAGATTTATGGGGCAGAAAAGCTTCCTCAGGCTCTTCCCAGCACTTTGAAGAAATCACTTTTGAAGAAATCATGCTCGTCTTGGGATGCTGCAGAAACTCCCAATAACATTTGAGTGAGACAGAGGTTTGTAATCACCCATTCCTCAGCACGTGGAGTGATTAAAAACTGTTTGTGTGCCTGTGTATGACAGATCCTTCATCCCTTGGGAGGAAACCATGAGATTTTTCCTTCAGAAGATGGACAATGGGGAAATGATGGTGGAGTCAGTTTAACCACGTGAAATACAGCTCCTGCTTCGTTGCAGTGTTGAAGCACCTTCCCAAAGCCAGCAGTAACACTGAGGAGCTGAACCCTGAAACTCATCCTGGTTTCCTGGGAATATTTACTGTCCTGAGTGCTCCCTGCACCTGATTGATCTGGGCAGTGCAAGGAGGGGAGGCCACAGGCACAAGGATTTTATGGCCTCTATAAAGTCCTGTACACAGATTTTCCTCCATCTGCTGCTGTTAAACACAGCATTTGGGATCATGTGGCACTTTAAGTGCTCTGGTTTATGGGGAGGCAGCATCTGTAATAAACATGCTAAAGCCTGAGTTTTAGAGCAATCCACTGTATTTATCTTGGACATAAACACTTCCCTGGCTGAACCCACAGGAACATCACAGCCACGAGCCTCAGGCACAGCAAGGTCACAGCCAAGGTGAAGGTGGAAGTGATGGGGGGAAAGGCAAATATTGGGAATTAGCAAGGGGAAAACTTGTCTTTTTCACCTGTTAAATATTCTGGATACATGGCTGTAATTTCTTACACTCTGATAATTACTCTGATGTTACACAGGACAAAAGAAATACAACCCCAGGCTCGATTTAGCTTTGCTTTCCAAAGTTATCCATTCTAGCTGTGGAAAGAAATGGTCTCTCTGGAATTAGGAAACTACAGGTGGCTCTGCAAAGTCAATTATCTTTGAGCTCCCTCAAGTGGCAATAAAATCTTGGAATTTGTTACTGGAATCCTCGAGTTTGTCACAGAAACCCTCGAGTTTCTTTACAAACCCCCTTGAGTTTGTCACTAAATCCTCGAGTTTGTCACTGGAATCCTCACGTTTGATACAGAAACCCTCAAGTTTCTTACAAAACCCCTTGAGTTTGTCACTGAAACCGTCAAGTTTTTTACAAAAGCCCTTGAGTTTGTCACTGTAACTCTCAGATTTTTTACAAAAACACCAGAGTTTGTCACTGAAATCCTTGAGTTTGTCACTGAAACTCTCCAATTTGTTGCACAACTGCTTTTACACCGAAGCCTTGTAATTTAAGACCATGTTTTTCACAGGCACTGTAGTAAACTGAGATGCTCGGGTTTCAAGGAATCTAAACCAGTTCAGAGCAGTTGAGCATGATTCATTTAATAACACATTTCTCTTTTGGCAGGTCTCTGAAAAGACATGTACCAAGTGCAATGAAGCATTTCATGTCCAAGAGAGGTTTGCAGCTGATTCACAACACGATACCTTCATGTTTTGAGGAGTTGTTTTGACTTTCTTTTATGGTTCCTTAGCAAATTCATGACAGAGTAGCTGGAATGTCTTGTTCAGCATCTCTGGTAAAATTCAGCCCTTTGCTTTCTACACCTTGGAAAGGGAAATAAATCCTTTTATCACAAGTGGTTTTGCCTCATTAGGAGCAAATTTTGTTCAAAAAGAGCATCTTTTAATCAGAGAGCAATTGATGATGTGCACCAGGATTCAGGTAATTTTTGGTGCAAGAAGATTAAATTTGATGGAAGACTGGAGCTTTTCACAGTAAAAAAGTAGTTTTTTCAAGGATTTGTCTAATATGGAAGGAACCTTTTGGAGCAAACAGCTCAAGAGAAATGACTTTGGAGAAGAGAAACCTTCCAGTGTTTGCAGCTGGGAAAGGTCCCTTCTAACCCAAACCATGCTGCAATTCCATGATCCCATGACTTTAACACTCAAAACAAGGCCAGTGGAGCGATTTTATAAACTGTTACATTTCCCTGAATGCTTATTGTGGGCTGGTGGCAGCCTGGCCTGCAAACACACATTTACATTTACTCTTACACTTACATTTACTCATACATTTACACTTCCATTTACACTTCCATTTACATTTACTCTTACACTTACATTTACTCATACATTTACACTTCCATTTACACTTCCATTTACATTTACTCTTACACTTACATTTACTCTTACATTTACACTTACTCTATACTTCCATTTACACTTCCATTTACAATTACATTTACACTTACACTTACATTTACTCATACATTTACACTTACATTTGCGCTTACACTTACATTTACTCTGACATTTACATTTACTCTTACACTTAGATTTGCATTTACAATTTCTATATTTATTTGATGTTCCTGTTTCCCAGGGCCCACTGTCAGGCCTCAGCGGGGCGCTGCCATGGCAACGGGGTCACGTGCCGGGGGGTCGCCACACGAGGGGCGGGTCACGTGCCTGGCGGTCACGTGTGGGGCGGGTCACGTGTGGGGCGGGTCACGTGGCGGGCGCTCACGTGAGGCGGGCGCGATGGCGGAGGAGGAGCGGGCGCTGCTGGGCTCCGATGGCGGCGATGGCGGCGGCGGCTCCCCGGGCCCTCCCCGCGCCCTGCCCGCCGCCTGCGACCCCCGCCGCCTCCCGCACCGCCTGCTCGTCCTGGCCCTCATGTGCTTCCTGGGATTCGGTGCGGGCCGGGGGGCTGCGTGAGGGGGTTTGGGGTGTGGGTGGCGGGCCAGAGCCCTGAGCCGTGCCCTTCTCCCCACAGGCAGCTACTTCTGCTACGATAACCCGGCCGCTCTGCAGACACAGGTTCAGCGGGTGAGCTCTGCCGGGGGGCTGGGAAAAGCAGGACACTGATGGAATACCCGGGGCAGAGCGGGAGGTGGGAAATGGGCAGGAATTGTTCCCTGGGCACAGCGTGGCCGGAGGAGCTGCGGCTGACCCGGGATCCCTGGCAGTGCCCAGGGTCATTTGGAGCAACCCGGGATAGTGGAAGGTGGGCTCGGAACTGCTATAGATACATATTATATTGTTGGGTTTTCGAAAATATTAAAATGAATGTTACATGTATAAGGTTAGAAAACTTCGTTATATTAATATAGTTCCTTCTATTTCTATTATTGGTGAAACTTAGAAATAGTAGTATAATATACATTATACATATATGTTGAGCTATGGCATAGTATTAAAACAAAAACTACTTTTGTTTGTATAACCCAAAGACTGAAAAAGATAATTAGAGACCCCCCTGCATTCTTAGATTATCTTATCCAGATAAAGACAGCAGTGACCAGAGCTCTGGGGGGAGGAATTTATTGCATTTCTGTTATCAGGGAATGTAAAACTCGGTGGAGCCAAGAAAACTGATTTATTGGGAAGGGAGTGAGTCAAAAACTAAACAAAGAAACATCCAAAACTTAAGAAGAATGTTTGATTATGTATGAGAATTTATGGATATGTAGTAGGATTCTGTTTTTAAGGAACAATCCTTTGTTAGTGAGGTGAATGCAGAGACACCCAGCCATATCTGTAAAGTTTATTTTTATCTCCTAATTGTCTTTCTATTAAACTTCTAAATTCTATAAAAAATATGTGAACCTCGTTTCTCACAGGAACAAAATGGACTTTAAGCCCCTTCCACCCTAACCCATCTGTGAATTACAGAAAATACACTTTGTTTCCAGGTGGTTCTTCCTGAATACTTTGTGTCCCTGCAGCTAGCTCAGGAATAATGACTTTTTACAATTGCCCCGTGTTCTGTAGGACATGAAGGTGAACACAGCCCAGTTCATGGCACTCTATGCCTGGTACTCCTGGCCCAACGTGGTGCTGTGCTTCTTTGGAGGTTTCCTGATAGACAGAGTCTTTGGGATCCGGTGAGTGCCGTCTCTGTGTCCCTCTTGTGCAAGGAATGATGAGCTAGAACTGCAGGTGAAGTTGAAACTTTATATTATAAAGCTTTTCAAGGTTATAATAAACCTTTTCAATATTTTTTTCCCCATGCAGTTTAGGATTTTTCAACAATATAGATGAGCTTCCATTCCTTTATAATTTAAATAAAGTTATTTATGATTTAAATAAATTTCAAAACCACCACCTTGTGCTACCTGTTTTCTGTGGGAGTTGTTGAGCTGCATAATTTATTACAGAGACCTTTTAATTGCCCATCCACCTTCCCTTGTTTCCCTGCTGCAGGTCTAAAATAGTGCTTTGTAGGAAAAATAAAAAAAGGATCCTGGTTATGCATGAAATGCATATTATTCTTTAATTTATTTATTCTTTATTTTAATTATTATTTCTTAATTCAATTTAATTATTCTTAATTTATTTTCTTTCCAGGTTGGGCACTGTCATATTCAGCATCTTTGTGTGTGTTGGGCAGGTGAGTGCCAGGGAGGGAGTGAAGGATAATCTGTGTCTGCAGTTTGTGTTTTACCTGAGACAGCTGAGAGCTGGAATGGGAGAAGCCCGGGTTGTACTGGGAAAGGGAACCTTGGAATGTGCCTGGAATTGTGGGAAGGATCCACCTTTTTTACGTGTTTGATGTGAAATTGGTTGAGGATGACACAGTCCCAGCTGGGCCAGGTTGGAGATGATGAAACAGCAGAGGGAGCAAAAGCCAAAAGGAGCAGGACTGTGAAGTGTTTCTGGGAAGGGAAAAGCATTTTTGTTCCTGTTTTCAGGCAGTTCAGCTTTGTTCCATACCTGAAATGCACAATTTTCACTCTCCCTCGCTGCTGTTTGCAGGTGGTTTTTGCTCTGGGAGCGCTGTTCAACACCTTCTGGCTGATGGAAGTGGGCAGATTCATATTTGGGTGAGTGTGGAAGGGCAGGTTTGTGCTCTTTGAGGTAAGGCCATCTAGAAACTACAAAAACTAACCCTAGAGAACTCTCTTAGAGAAGAGCTGCCGCTTGGAATCAAAATTGGTGGATTCTGAGACCTCTGAAGCTGAGGAATGCAAGATCTCCCCTTCTTTTCCTTGTGTAACTTAGAAAACAAAACCCAGGACTTTGCAGGTGCTGCTGAATCAAAAACTGGAGCCACCAATCATTCTTCAATCACCGCAATTCCATTTTGGAATCTTTGATTTCTGTTGCCTTGTCTTTATAAACATCCATTAAATCTGCCTGTGCACAGCCAGATTTCTCTGGAATTCTGCTCTTGCCAAAGCTTTTATCTTTGCCTGCTGCATTGGAGATGTTTTGGTTGGTTGTGCAGGATCGGGGGCGAGTCCTTGGCGGTGGCCCAGAACACGTATGCAGTGAGCTGGTTCAAGGGCAAGGAGCTGAACCTGGTGTTTGGATTGCAGCTCAGCATGGCCAGAATTGTGAGTTTGCACAGCTGGGAATGGAGAGAGGAGCAGGGCTCCTCATTTCATGGCTCATTTTGGGGGTTTTTAACCAGTGCAGCTGCTCCCAGCTGGGGGATGTTCACCAGTGCTCAGCTGGTGGCAGCCTTGGGATTGCAGCCATGGGTCCTTCTCTGGGGGCAAAAAGGAGGGGAAAATGGGATTTTTCCTGGTGCCTGTCAGCTGGGAATCCTGTTTGGCCAAATATATTAAATTCAGCTCCATTTCTGAGCTCGTGCATGTGGGTTTATTCACTTCTCATAAGTGAGAACTCTCCCAGCCTTGTGTAAAATTTCAGTTTGTGATGTTGCAACGATTCATTTGTTACCAGCCCAGCAGGGAATCATTTCTGTCCTGCTTTAAGTTCCCTGGGTAGCATTTTAATGATAAACAGTGGTGCCTGGTGTTCCCTGGAGCTGGGAAATGCTGGGATCTTCACATGGCTCTGCTGTGCCTAGGGGAGCACGGTGAACATGAATATCATGGGATGGATCTACTCCAGAGTTCAGGATCTCCTGGGCTCTGCTGGTCCCAGCACCCTCGGCCTGGCTCTGCTCATAGGTCAGTGATGGTTTGGCTTGTGTCATCTGCATGTGTGTTCATTATTAACCACTTAATAGCATTTATTGACCACTTAAAAACATTTATTAACCACTTAAAAGCATTTATTAACCACTTAAAAAAAGCACAAATCTGTTTGAGCTTAGGAAGAGCAATTCCAACACCTTTTGTATCATATTCTCATTTTCTCTCGGGTTACTGCAGCTTCTGAACTGCTGTGGCATTTTTGGGGTTGCCAAATTCAAGTTTGTGTCTTGTGGAGATGAAATATTTCACATTCTCTGAGCGAAGGACAGGCTTGAAAATTTTTCTGAGGAGTGTCCAAGCTTGCCTGTGGTTATCTGATTGTAGAAGTGAAATTTGAACAATTCTGGGGTGTGTTCCCTTCCCTCAGAGCCGTGGGCATGGAGATTTTGGTGTTGGGAATAAGGCCAGGCTTTGTTTCTGTTCCTGCAAGGTGCAGGTGAGGAGCTTGGCCGTGCTGAGGGCGAGTGGTGGTGATGTTTTAAATAAAATAAATACATGTACGTGTTTGTGCTCCAAGGCAGGTGTGTGCCACACGTGTCAGGCTTCGGTTTTACACCTGAACCTTGGAGCTGTGCAGCTCTTGGGCCTTAAAGCTGCTGGTGTACCTTGATGTGTCCAACACAAACTGTGCTAATTGGGCTGAAAAATCAAATTACTGCTTGAGTTGTCAGCTGAACATGTGGTGTTGCCTTCTTCAGGTGGAGTCACTTGTCTGTTCTCACTGAGCTGTGCTTTAATCCTGGCTTACCTGGACAGGAGAGCAGAGAAACTGCTTTGCAAGGAGCAGGGGAAAACAGGTGAGTGCTGGGGCTGGGCTGGAGCTGACGCTGCACTGGGCAGGTTTGCATTTCAGGTCATTCAGGGGCTGCTGCTCAACATCTCCACGGTTCTAATCATCATTTTTAGCTCATTTTCACATGAAGTTTTAGTTTGAAGCATCAGCCCAACAGGCAGAGGCACTGTCACCTGCTTTATTTATAAAAATGAAAGTTGACCCCAGTTGGTGCTGGTGCCACTGGCTCTGGGTTTTCTTGGAGTTGATTTCCTCAAGGGATGCAGAACCATGGAGCTCTTCCCTGTCAGTGTGTGCTGGGTTGAGTTTTCCATGGGGGACAACTCAGGCCAATTAAAAATAAACTCAATTTGAGATCCAGTGGAATCCCAAACTGGTTTGGGATGGAAGGGACCTTTGATCTCCAGGCAGGGGCAGGGATGTGCTTTAGGAGGGATTTGGGATCACCTGGGTGTTCTCCAGTGGGGATGAATCCCAGATTTGTTTATCCTGAGTGATTCCATGCTGTGTCTCACCCCTCTGCAGGAGAAGTGATCAAGCTGACGGATGTGAAGGATTTCTCCTTGTCCTTGTGGCTCATCTTTGTCATCTGTGTCTGTTACTACGCTGCAGTTTTCCCTTTCATTGGCTTGGGGAAGTAAGTGCCACTCACTCTTCCAGCAATTCCCTTGGAATCTGGCCAAGCTTTTAACCAAAATCCTTAAAAACTCCACATTTATCAGCTGTGCTTTGTGGGAATTGCCACTCTGAGTTGTCAGAACTCAGAGTTTGCTTTCCTGATTAAAACTGGGTACAGGTTTAAAACATGGGGTGGAATTTGGTGTCCTGTAGGATTCCTTCCAAATTTACAACTCACTATTTGGGTGAAATTTTCATTATGAACTTCTTATGTTTTCCCCAAAGTATAATTTGAATGATCCTTAAATTAAAATCTGTGAAGTCTGATAACAAGCTCCTAATTTAATTATAAATGAGAATTTGGGATATTTATGGCAAAGCTCTATTTAATTTTTCCATAAATAAGATTCTCATGTCTTTGTCTAAGTTAATTTTGATTGCACGTCCTTCAAGTCTGCATTTTCCTAAATGGATTTTTTCCTTCCCTCAGGGTTTTCTTTATTGAAAAGTTCCGGTTTTCCCCTCAAGAAGCCAGTGCAATTAACAGGTATATTGGGGTTGATGTAATAAGGAACACTGCCAGGTTTTAGGATGTGTTTTTGGGCTCTGGGCAGGTGGGAAGAGGTTTGGGATCTCCTGTGAGCTGCATTTAAGTGGAGAAATAATTTCACAAGACCCAAGGAATAACTGGGAAATGTGAACATGTTTTTTATTAAAAGCAGATGTTCCCACTGGAAAGAAAAAGATCTGAAGGGTTTTATTTTAGTATTTAGTGATTCTTTGCTGAGTGATAAAAGTTTAATAACAGCAATTAAGATTTAATAAATAAATAAAATAAAGGTTTAATAACAGCACTAAAGGATCTCAATTTTGGTCATTTGAGGATGAATTTGTGATGTGGCCAAACCCCAAAGCAATAAAGCCCCACAAGAAAACCCCTGCTGGGCTCAGAGTCTGTCAGTGTTTCCTTGAGTGCTGAGCACTTCTATGTCCTCAAACCATTGGAAATTCTAAATTATTGGGATTTGGGGGAGGATGTTTTTTCCTTTTGTCCTCAGAGTTAAGAGAGGCCTCTGTGAGTGTTAAATCTTTGATTTCCCTCTGGTGCAGCGTGGTGTACATCATCTCAGCCCCCATGTCCCCGGTGTTTGGGCTGCTGGTGGATAAAGTTGGCAAGAACATCATCTGGGTGCTGTGTGCTGTGGTGACCACGCTGGCCTCGCACATCCTGCTGGCCTTCACCTTCTGGAACCCCTGGATAGCCATGGTAACCTCATTTCCTGGGATTTACACCTAAAGAGAATGTCAGATACTGATTCCAGAAATACAAATCAAGCACTGGGGTTGGCACTGAATTATTCTGTGTGTTGGGGGGTGGAAAAGATTCCTCGCTCCATTACTGAATTCCTGTGCCAGGTGCTCGCTTCTCTCCTAAAAATTCCTTTTGTAATTTATTTCTGAAGTCTCTTACTCAAACTGCTCTCTTTTCTCCTAAAAATTGTTTAGTTTATTTCTAAATTTTATTTCTATTACTCAAACTGCTCTCTTTTTCTCCTAAAAATTCTTCTTTCAATTTATTTCTAAAGTTTATTATTATTATTCAAACTGCTCTCTTTTTCTCCTAAAAATTCTTCTTTTAGTTTATTTCTGAAGCTTATTACCATTACTCAGACTGCCTCTGATGTGCTGAATTGGACCTTTGTAAAAACTTGCATTACTGAGAGGAGATTCAGGAAATATTTCAGAAAATATTTCAGGAAATATTTCCTGTTTGGAGCTGAGGGTTATGATGCTCACCAGTGGGGCAGGGATTAAAAACTTCGCTTTTCAAGCATTTTTCTAGTGAGGTGCAGCTCTGGGGGGTGTTCAATCAAAACACAGAATTTATTTTGGGGGTCACTCCAGTTCCAAGTGTGGATATTTATGTAGAATTTCCTTGCACAAAGTGTTTCTTGAGCTCCTTTTGGGGAGAGGGAAGGGCAATACCTGAATTTTTGGGGTGTGCCTGTGCTGTAACCCTGTTTGCTTGTCCCGTGTCCCAGTGCCTGCTGGGTGTGGCCTATTCCCTGCTGGCCTGTGCCCTGTGGCCCATGGTGGCCTTCGTGGTCCCCGAGCACCAGCTGGGAACTGCCTATGGCTTGTGAGTATTTCCATGGATTTGTGCCAGGCCAGAGCTCCAGCAGGAGCTGGGGGTGGGCTGGGATTGTCCCAGGTGACTGGGGACAAGGGATGGAGGGGGAGGACCCAGGGAATGGCAGGGCTGGGTGGGATCTTGGGAAGGAATTCCTGGCTGGGAGGAGCTGGATGGATTCCAGTGCAGGGAGCCTGCGGGAGAGCTGGAGAGGGACCTTGGCCAAGGGGGAATGGTTTGAAATAAAGGAGAAGAGATTTACTTGGGACATTGGGAAGGGATTGCTCCCTGTGAGGCTGAGGAGGGGCTGGGATGGGATTCCCAGAGCATCCCTGGCAGTGCCAGGAATGGACACTGGGGCTGGGAGCAGCCTGGGGCAGTGGGAGGTGTTCCTGCCTTGGGGCTGGGTGAGCTTTACGGTCCCTCCCATCCCAAACCATTCCCTGACTCCTGACACTCTGGAGCCACTGAACCTGAGCAGATCCAACCCATTCCTGGTTCCCAGCTCCTCCAGGTCTGGAGCAGGAATCCCTGCCTGCTTTGGGGATGGCATTTGGGCAGAGCCTGAGGCTGGGGACAGGCACAGGAACTTCTGCAAAACAACTGAGCCCTGACTCTGCCATGTCCCAAAACATGGGGAATGTGTATCTCTCATGAGCTCCAGTGGCACTGGGGAGCTTTTCCTGAGCAAATCTAAATCCATTTTGCTGAGAGAAGAACTGAGTGGTGTTCCTGCTGTGTCCCAGCATGCAGTCCATCCAGAACCTGGGCCTGGCAGTGATTGCCATAGCAGCTGGAATGATCCTGGACACCAGGGGGTACCTGTTCCTCGAGGTCTTCTTCAGTGCCTGTGTTTGCTGTGAGTGTGGGACGCCCTGGGAATGGCTTCAGGAAGCTTCATTGGGCTTTTGGGGTTCATATTTCATGGAAAACAGAAACAATTCCTCTTCTAGAGGTGTCAGCTGGGGCAGTGCTGGGATGAACTCACAGCCAGTGGAGTGTTTGGGGTTTGCCTGAAGTGTGGAGAGTTTCAGTGTTTAAAAAAGGGAGTGAAAGTAGACAAATAATGCTTTTCAAGTGTAAGTTGCAAGTTTAAAATGAAAATAATTTCTGAATGACCACGTGCTGTGAGCACAGGGAGATTTCCAAAAGCAGAAAACTCCTGTGAGTTACCATGAAAATCTTGGTTGTGGGTTCAAGCTGTTCATTTCTTGTCCTTTTCCTTTTGCAGTGTCACTGATAGCTGTGGTGCTGCTGTACTTTGTGAATCACCTCACAGGTGAGTCTTTGCAGCTTCTCTTTACCTCAATTTCTACTTCTGTAAAATCGCTCTTCTGATTTCTCAGTGCTCTGAGAACCCCTGGGGGGAGCTTTGATACCAAAGGCAAAAACAATCCCAGTTTTAAAGGTCTCAGAGTGCACATTGCTGCTGTTACAGGTGGTGATCTCAACTGGTCTGCAAAGAAAAGGGCAAAACTGCAAAAAGCAGCTGCTTCTGAGTAAGTACAGAGCCAGGAAATGTCAGTCCTTGGGAAATGTTTGTCCTGAAGGGATTAAGGAGATCATTTCTCCAGTCTGATTTATATTGGATTTATTTTCTTACCAGTCTGGTTTAGGATTTCATATCCCTGCCTCCTGTGAATCAATATTTGAGGTAGCTTTATCCAGCTGTCCTTTCCTGGCACTTTTCCTCCCTGTTTTCCTTTATTTCAGTGGGCTCACAACTGAAATGGGGTAGAAAATGAGGTGGTTTGAGTGGAAATCACAGCACTGCTGGGAAAGCCCAGTTTGGGGTCACACCTGTCACAAATCCTCCTGCTGACACGAGTTTTTATTTTCAATAAGAAAATGGGGCAGGACTTTTCAATAAAATGGGATTCAGTTCCTTTAAAAGGAAATGGAGCACTTGAGGTGGCAGGAATGGTTGGGATGGAGAAATTTTGACAGTTCATGGAATAGTTTGGATTGGGAGACACCTTGCAGTTCATCCAGTTCCCAACCCTGCAGGGGCAGCTCCATTGACCAGGCTGGTTCATCCAATTAAAATACAGTTAATTATTCTTAATTTAACATTCTTGTGTAAAGAAATAAATCCATGTTATGGCAAACCACAGCTTTCAAAACCACACCTGCAGAATTCCAGCTGCTGCAGTGTGAAGAACATGGAATTTTTCCTTTGGAATGCTCTCTGTTCTGACCTAATCCAGCTCAGCTGCTCCCTCACACTTTGGAGGGATTTAAATTTTCCTTTAGTTTCCTTTAGTTTTGTTGGAATTCTTAATTTTTTAATAGGTAATTACATCTCACCTGCAGATGTTCATCACACACCTTAGATATATAATTTTTATAAAATATATTAAAATATTTTTTATATTTTTTTTAATTTTTAAAATTATATTTATAATATGTTTGATCCAGGTAGATAATTTCTAGTATTTCTTACAAATGGATTTATGGATTCCTATAAAACTGGGTTGTGTCCATGTGGTGCTACTTAAATTAATCCCAAAAAACCTAAGGAAATGAATCCCAAAAAACCTAAGGCACCTGTGAGCAAAGTATCCAGTGACTTGTGGGGTTTAATATGTTTTTTTCTTGTTTTTTCCATACATTAATCTTGAGGAAAGCTGAAGGAAACCAAATCCACATTTAATTGTGATGAGTCTCCTTGAGACAAAAGGATTTTTAATCCAATTTTTTTAATACAGACACCCCAAACCTCAGAATTCTGTGTCCAGTCAGAGCTGCCCCTCACCCATGTGTAACAATTCCAGGGATTCCCTGGGATTTGGGGTGCCCTGCCCCAATATTTGTTCCTGTCCCAGTTCCAGGGGTTCTGAGGGATTTGGGATGCCCTGCCTGCAGTAAGTGTCCCAATTCCAGAGGTTCTGTGGGATTTGGGATGCCCTGCCTGCAGTAAGTGTCCCAATTCCAGGGGTTCTGTGGGATTTGGGATGCCCTGCCTGCAGTAACTGTCCCGTTTGTTTCAGAAAGGAGAGCTGAGTGAGTGGCAGAGCCTGAGCTGAGCTCCGGCTCCTCCCGGAGCTGCAGTTCCCTGCCCTTCCCTGGAGGATCCGCTCACCGGGGCCTTCCAGCACTGCCTCAGCTCCTGCTTTTTGTTTAAACAATTCCAAAATCCCTTTGTTTGGCAGAGGGCCCTGGCTGAGCTCTGCCACCCCACAAACCCCCAGAGCTCCCAGGTGCAGCTTTCTGTTCCCAGCCAGAGCTCTCACAGCTCTGTGTCACTGTCCTCGTGCAAAAACCACTCTGGAAATGTGTTTACAGCTTTGGGTTTCCTTTCATCACTGCAAAAAGAGCCACAGATGCTCCAATGGACTTTTTTTTTTTTTTTTAATAGATTTCTGAATTCTGAGGCTGCTGAGCAGTCTTTTATTGCCTTCTCGATTCTCTTTGTATTGTAATGTTTGTTTTAAGGGATGAAAGTTTGTTTAATAGATAGAAAATTGTTCCAGAAGCTCCCCTGAGCACTTTGTAATCTGGGAAAAGCCAAAAGGTTTCTCTTTCTACGGGAATCTTGGAATGAAATAAAAGGAACCTGCAGAAATCAGCCTCTCTCTTTCTTTACACTGAATTATTGATCCCTGCACATCTCAGGGTGGTTCACCCGATACCTCAAAACATTTCCTAGGTATTAAAACAACAATAACGATATTAAAATATGAAATAATGCTGAAACAACAACCAATCCCTGCTTGGCAGGGTTTTCCCTCAGGGCAAACATCTTTTGCCACTTTTCTTTTGCAGAGCAGAAGAGCAGGAGAGGCTCAGAAGGCAGAACGAAGATGATTTGACAAAATTGCTGCCAAAAGCTGATGCCTTTAGTTTCAGGAATAAATACCTGTCCAAACTTGGAGCTCAGGTATCACTAACAGGGGTTCATGGACAATTAAAAACCAGAATAACGAGGGGCTTATTAGAATTTGGCTGTTTTTAACAGCCAGCAACTCCACCTCTGAGTGAAATTCCTGGGATTTGTTCTCAGAAAGAAATCTCCCAGTAATTAAAAACCTAATGAAGGAAAGGAATCAAAGGCTGGCCCAGCTCAGAAGCTGAGGAATGTCTTGATTTTATTTTTTCTTGCAGCTCCCTGCTCATTACTCCTCCTGTTTCTCCACCCTGGCCCACAGAAGTGTGCTGAAATAGCAGCTTGGCCCTGTGGAACAGCAGGAATACACTGAATTTCCTGGGACACAGAGCCCAGCCCCAGCAGATGCTCTGTGCTTTGCTGCAAGCCTAGCTCCTAGATTTAAAATATTGCCTAAAACTCCTCCTTCCTGGGCAATCCAGGGATCCTGCTGGAACTGTGGCTCTGGTGGAAGCTCTGGGTACCTGCTGCTGCCTCCTGTCTCGAGTTCTCCGTGAGTAGCTGAGGCAGGGCCAGGATTTGATCTCCGGCTGTGAAGTGGGAAAATTCCATCGTGAAATTGCTGGGATGAGCCTGGATGGAGGTGGGGCTTTCCCAGCCTCTCCTCTTGGACACCTTCGTTGCTCTCTTTCCTTTTTCTGGGAGAAAAAGGTGAGGAAAAGCTCCCAAGGGAATATTTCAGAGGAATCTCCACTTCCAGACGTGCTCACCCTGGAATTTATCCTAGCTCAGGAACAGCAATAACCTCTCCAAGCCTGAATAATGTGAAAACTGATTAATTTTTAAGAGTTAGTGACTAAAAAACTATAAAAAGAATTAAATCAAGAACTGAATTTTGCTTGCAGAGGGCAAAGCCTTGAATTCCATGGTGGAACTCCTCATTTTCCCATCTGGAACTCCTCATTTTCCCATCACTTGACGGGAGGCTCTGTGCTGAGCAGGGAGTTCCCAGAGCTCCTGCAGAGTCAATTTTGCTTTGGTTAATTACTCCTCGAGGTAATTGGGTAAATTATCCCTGAACTGAGCTGATCTGCTAAAGGGCAGGAGGTTTGTGGAGCCCCAGGAATATTCCTGGGATGGCTCCAGGGAATAGAGAAAGCTCAGGAGCCTTTGGAGTGTCCTTGGCAGCAGAGAGAGGAGTTTGTTAGAATAAAGATGTTGCATCTCATGTAGAACATTCTTAATATTTTTAATTTCAGCAGAACTCACACTATTAAAGCTGGTTTTAAAGGAGACTTTTTGCAGTGGAGATTTCTTTGGTATCCTTGGAAAATTCTCACCTTCCTGAAGGACCTTTTGGGTGAAGGTTGTGGCTTCTGAAGGACGATGTGGGAACCCAGAGCAGCAGCTTGGCAGCTCCCTGAGCTCTGCTGCTTTTTCCTGCTCCTTCCTGCAGCTCTGAGCTTGCCTGGGAGGTTTCCTCGTGCTCTTGTGGATTTGGGGTGTTTGGAAATAAAACCTTGCTGTGGTCACTGGCGCTTGTGGCTGTTGGGGGCTCTGGAGTTTTTTGGGGGTTGTTGGGGCATTTGTTTCCCTGATCAGGGGGGAGAGTTTGGGGGAAGTTTCCCTTGGAGGATCCAAAGGCAAAGCTGCCCCCACTGCTGGGTTGAGGAGTTTTTTTCTTGGGGAGGGAGAGAATTAAATTGAATTTTGCTCTTGTGCTTCTCCTGAGCTCTGACACGTTTTGTTTGGAGAAGCTCCTCTGCTGTTCCCTCTAGGCTGACATTCCATGCGTGATCCAAGCCTGCAGCTCCTGTTTTCCTGAGCTTTAGTTCCAGTTTGTGAATTCCCTGCACCCTTCAGGATCCTGCTCCAGTCCTGGGGGGCTTCTGCAAAGGGGACAAATCCCTGGGAGCTGCAGCTCCTCTGGCTGAGCCTGGAGAGGGGCTTTAACCCTCACTGATGGAAACGCTGATGGAAAACATCTCCAAAAGAGGAATTCATTGGACCGATTTCCCCAGGATGTGCTTTGTGCTCCTGCCCCAGGTGCCTGAGGAGCCCTTCAGAAGCTGAAATCGGGAACAGCTGGGAAGGGAGCTTTGTCCCAAGAAATCCTCCCTTTTCCAGGGATCTCTCACTAGAGGTCAGCACTGCCTCGGGAATGTTGGATAATCGGGATGGAAGCCCTCCAGGCTGCCGGGGTTGGTTTTGGTGCCTGATTTCCAGCCCTGGTCCTGGCACAGGGATGGACGGGGTTTGGAGCAGCCTGGGATGGGGGAAGGTGTCCCCACCCAGGGCAGGGTGGTCTTTAAGGTCCTTCCAGCCCAAACCCATCTGTGATTCCATGGAATCCCATGGAATTCCATGGGAAAAGCACCTCAACCCCTCAGTTCTCTTTGACTGAATTATTTCTGAGGTGGCTGAAGTCTTGGTGTTCTCCATCAGGTTTTGGATTCCAGGGGAGGCTCAGGTTGGATATCAGCAGGAATTTCTCCATGGAAAGGGTGGTCAGGGCTTGGCAGGGGCTGCCCAGGGAGGTTTGGAGTGCCCATCCCTGGAGGTGTCCAAGGAATTCCTGGCCATGTCCCCAGCGCTCTGGGCTGGAGCTTTTCCAGCCTCAGTGATTTTCTGTCTTGAGGTGGAAAACTTCCATATTTTTTTAACAATTCCAGGGATGTGTCTCCACTAAACTTTCCATGTGGTCAGAATCCTCTGGAATTTGTGGGAATGTTGATGTAAAAACACGGCACAGAAAGCTCATTTCAGCTTTTCCTGACAGGGAATATTCCTTGCTCTGCTCTTTCCCAGGCTCCCCAGGGAATGGTCCAAGGCTTCCAGAGCTCCAGGAATATTTGGATAATGTTTTCAGGCACAGGATGGGAATGTTTGGATGTCCTGTGCAGGGCCTGGAGTTGGACTTGGATGATCCCTGTGGGTCCCTTCCAGCTCAGGATATTCCAGGATTTGTTTTTCCAGGGAAACAGAGGTGGTAGGTGAAGACAAAACGAGTTTTCCCCTACAGATATCTCTCTGTTTAGTGAACTCTTGGGCAGTAAAATGTGGCAGCAAATCCTGTCCAAAGCTGGGAGCAGCAGATTTCCATGTCCTGGAGCCTCTCCCTTGGCTCTGGCAGGAATGTGGGGAGAAAACTGGGGCAGGCTTGAAGCGACCAGGATAATTCCCCTTAATTCACCCTGACCCATCTCCAGGTGAAAATGATCCTTCCCAGGAGAGCCTCGCAGCAAGGGATCTGTGGGTGCAGATTCCAGCTCTGAGCCGGGCTGGGATCCAGAGGAAATTCTTTATTCCTGTTTTTCCTGTTATTCCTTCAGCAGCTCCTGGGGCTGGGGATGAATTAACGGCAGCTTGGCATCATTAGGTGTTAATTTCTGATTTCTTTTTCCTGGCAGCCTGCCCTGCTCCATGCATCATTCCCAACCATCCCATCCCATCCCAGCCTGCTGCTGAACGAGGACCTGGAGCCAACTGCAGCCTAATGGGATCTCCCAGCATTTTCCAGGTGAGTTCTGGAACGTTCCAGGAAATGCTGGGCCACCCTCTGGAGCCTCCTGGTGACATCTGCACTGTCCTAGAGCAGCTCCTGCTGTTCCCCAGCCCTCTGGGGCTGCCTTGGGCATCACAAACCTCTTCCCAAGCTCCAGCAGCGCTTAAATGAGAGCTGGATCCCTGGAATTGTGGTGGAGAGTGTTAAAATCAGTATTTATTTGTGAGTCACTCCTGAAGGGGGCCCTAATTGGAGCAGGTTTTCTGCTCAGGCTGCAGAACAGGACAATAAAAATCCGAGATTGATGGTTATGAGCAGATTAAATGGGGATCAAAGTTATAAATTCCAGCCCTGCTGGAGCTGGGATTGGCCACCAGAGATCCTGCTAAGTGCCAGTGCTGTTTAATGAGCTCGTTTATTTGCAGGCCTCCAAGTGTATCAGCTCGGGGAGTTTATTGAAAATGTGTTTAAAATAAACAATGTGCCAGGGGTCAGCAGTGTTGGATACGGGCTGGGACAAAGAGCCCACAGGGAAAAGCAGGAGTTGAAAGTGAAGATTTGGATTTCCAAGGGAAGTCTGAGGCTTGGGGAGTGTGAGGAATTCCATCCTTTGGTTCAAACATGCTGGGATTTTGTTTCCTTCTGGTTTTTGGTCATTACAAGGCCTCAGTGTGGTGTCAGGAATACTGGGCAGGGTTTGTATCTGCTGGCTCAGATATCCCAGAGGGGAAAAGCAGGAGCTGAAAATGGAGATTTGGATTTCCAGGGAAGTCTGAGGCTTGAGGAGTGTGAGGAATTCCATCCTGTGGCTCTGGAATTTTGGTTTCTCCTGGTTTTTGGTTATTTCACCACAGGGACTGGACCTGCAGCAGATGCAGAAGTTTTTGGGGTGTCCCTGGGAAGCTGGGCTGGAAATCTCCTTATCTATGGGAATGAAATGTTTCCATTCCCAGCAGCACAAACTTGTTAAAGCTCAGGGAGCCGTGGGGAACTGCTTGGATTAAAGTTGAATTGTTGTTTTGTCCCTGTTGGGAGATTGCCCCGGTGACTCCAGAGCTTCCCCCTCTGCTGATGGAAGGAGAGGGAATGGGGAGGTCTCTAAAGGGCAGAAAAATGGGAATATTTGGTTAAATATCTGGAGTTTGGTTATAGCTGGTACAGCAAGGCCTGATTTGAAAAGCACAATATCCACATCCCAGAGATAATTCTGTTCAATTGTTCCCAAACTCCAGAGCTGAAACCTCACAGAGAAAGGCTGGAACTGAGGCTGCTCCTAGAGGAGACAAAATTCCATTTCCTGACTTGCTGAGGGAGATTTTTATAATTGGGATAAAACTCTGAATTAATCCCAGTGGCATCCAAAGCTCCCCATTGCCTCCTTTGCTAGACAATCATTTGTTTTACTCCAAAGAGCCCCTTTTTCATTCCTCTGTTAAAAAGTTGATTTTTCTTTAATTTGTGGCTGTGTTTCCTCCTGGGGGATCCTGATTAAACTCCGCACTTCCAAAGCCTTTGCAGGGTTTGGGGAGGGAGAATCCGGGGGGATTCAAAGCAGCCTCTGCCTCTTTCCTCCTGCAGCAGCACTTTGGATAAGCAAAATAAAATAAAATAAAATTTCTCCCCAGCTCGGGAATAGAGGCAGGAATTCTGTCCTTGCCCAGAGAAGCTGGAAATCCCTGGAATTGTCCAAGGCCAGGATGGATGAGGCTTGGAGCACGCTGGGATGGGGAAGGTTCCCTGCACAGGGAATGGGCTCTGAGATCCCAAACATTCCATGATTCTGTGATTCCCCTGGAAGAAAAAAAAAAGGGAATTAGTGTTTCCTGGAGGTTGTTCCCTCTGGAGAAGGGAATGCTGCTCCAGCTTCCTGGGAGTGCAGGAAAAGCAACCCCAGCTCACATCCGAGGGAAATAAAGCACCGGAATGATCCCAATAAATTACAATAATTGTGCCTGGCAGCATGTGGTAATTTAAAATGGATTAATCTAACGAGCCCTAAAGAGGAATAAATAATAAACATCTCCATGGAATGGGAATGCTGCTCCCCTTCCCTGGGCCTGGATATCAGTGAGTGCTCAGAGAGCGCTGGAAAATCAATCCGGGAGGAGAAGGAAGGAGGAATTAACTGCAAGAAATCCATGAAAAGTGGGAATGTGGTGCCTGGAATGGGAAGCAGGTTTGGAATGAGGGCTGGGCTCCTGGGGCTCAGGTGGGATTTTGGATCCCTCCTTTCCTGGCTGGAGCTGGGATTTCTCCATGGAAAATGATGGAGCCCCAGGTGGCTCTCGGCACATCCACGTGGAGCCGAGATCCAGGAGTCTCCTCCTGGCAAAATCAGGGATAAATCCCAGAGGAAACCTCCCTCCGCTGGAAAACCAGGAGCAGGCAGGCTCCAGTGGGGGTTTTTCCCTGCTCCTTGATTTCCTGGGATGGGATCTGCCCCTCGCAGGGTTTGGATGCTCCGATCCGCTTGGAGGCAGGAATTCCGTGCTGGCAGCGCTTCCCATTCCCAATATTCCAGCAGGGATGCTGTGGGGTGCAGCCCAGATAATGGGATGTGATTGAGCCCCACTGCTCCCTGTTGTGTTCCTGCCTTTGGATTGGGGTTCCCTGGCTCTGGAATCACAGCTCAGGATCTCTTCTGGGAATCTCCATAGTAACGGAGCAGGGGGAATGTCATTCCTGGGAATTTTATCCTGCTGGGAATATCAGGGCTGGCCGATATTTGTGTTTATTTGTCTCTCCCAGCTCCTCCCGGGGCTGTGGATGCGGCTGGGATGAGCCTGGGATGCTCTGGGAATATTGGGAGCAAGGAGAAGCTCCTGGCTCCAAATCCCTGGGGATGAAAAGGGACAAATCCCGGATTTCTGGGAGGATTGAGGAGGGAAACGATTCCAGTGGGATTGGGAAGGGATTCCTGAGGATGGGGAAGGCTGGGATGGGAATTCCCAGAGGAGCTCAGGATCCCTGGAAGTGCCCAAGGCCAGGCTGGACCCAGCTTTGAGGGGATGGGAATGGGATGGGAATCCCGGGGTGTGCTGCACCCACGGGAGCTCTGCGTGACCTGGGCTCGGTAATTAACCAGTTAATTAGTTAATTAATGCTGGGGTGTAATTGGGTTTTACGTAGAGGAATTGGATTTTCTTTTCAGAGCTCATTTCTCTGTGGCATTTGAAGGTCCTGGGGAAGAACAGGAAATCAGTAATTAGTAAATTTTTAAATAATAAGGAAATGATTGGAACTCAGCTTATTGTAATTAAGCCATTAGCTAATGACTAATGGATATATTTATTCAACTTTTCTCTCTTTAGCTAATTGAGCTGATTTTGGTCTCTTGGGAGGTTTTTTGCACAATCTCCTTTGGAGGTGTTTTTTTTTTACCCAGGAATGGATTCTTACCTCAATGGCTCTTGCTGCTATAAATTGATTTTTGTGGGAATTTCCCGGTTCTCACTTGGAGCAGCCGAGCTCCGTTTGAGGAACATTTTTTATTTCAGGGTTTTTGTTTCTTTGTAGCTGGGGGAGCTTTCAGGTTTGGCCTCTTCTGCTCCTTTTTTAACCCAAATTTGTCAAATCTCGCAGGCGAAAATGCAAAAATTTTCACCCGATATTATTATTTCTTTAAATAAAAGCATAGCTTTAATAATATATAAAATATATATATAATATATTTCTTTTTATATATATTTATATATATGAAATATTGTTATACATTATATATAAAAAGATATATTATATATTATATATTATATATTATATATTATATATTATATATTACATATATTGTATATATTATATATAATTATATATAATTAATTTATACTAATTCTATATAATATATAGTAATTCTACACAATAAATATAATATATAACATAATACTATATAATAAATAGTATATAGTAATTCTATATAATTGTATATAATTTATTTATAATTATATAGGCTACATAATGATATATAATAATTATATTGATATATTAATTCTATATAACTGATGTAGAAGAATTATATTAATTCTATATAACTGTACACAGAATAATTATATTACTATATTAATTATATGTAATATTTCATTTAAAATAATTAATTTTTTTACTAATTAATGATTATTATACAATTCTTTGATCCTTTCAGGTAAGGAAGAAGGAAAACCAGAAGGGAAATGTTGTCCCAGGGAGGAGCTGAGATATAAGGTTCATTATTATTATTAATAATAACACTGACATTAAAATCAATAAATAACATTAATATTTTTTAAAAATTATAACATTTATAATTTTAAGATATTTAATATAATTTCAAACGTCATTAAATAAATAAAAAATACAAACTGTATTAAATATTCTATTACAAATAAATATAATATAAATAGGATAAATGTTAAACATAAATATTTTGTATGAGATGAATATTTTAATTTATTAACTGTTATATTCAAATGTTATTTATTGGAATTTCTATTTTTCTATGAATAAAAATGAATATTTTTTATAATTGTTTCTGGTCTTGAGCTGCTCTGTTTGGAGAAATAAAACAGGACAAAGTTTTCTTGCTGAAATTCAATTTCCTCCCTTGGGCTTCCGAGTCCTGGGAAAAACATTTGGGGATTTTTGGGCTCCTGGATCCGGATTTTGGGGCCACTTTTGAAGCATTTGGGGAATTTTCTGTTTAATTCCAGCGTGGGAAGTGATGGGGAAAGATTTAAAATAATGAAAAAATTCTGAACCACGGAACAAAGGCTCAGATC